CTTATGTGGTGCTGAGGAATCGAACCCAGGGCCTCATGCATGCAAGGCAAGTGCTCTACCACTGAGCCACCTTCCCAGCCCCATCAAATATTTAAAAATTTTTAATCAAATATTTTCTCCCCCTCCACACTGTATCACTAACATTTGAAGCCAAGCTGATTTATAAAAGTTTCACTTTTTGTTAATATATTCTCTAAAGTGTGATATTGAAAAATTGTTTTTACTAAAGGAGGTTTCCATAGCTTTTGTCTCTGGTACCTTATCATATTGGCAGATGTAGTGATTATTATTTTTATTCTTGGAATTTTGGTTCATATAGATGAAATGCATGAACTAAGTTTATCACTAGTATTATGCTATTATAAAATTATTGGGAATTAATCAATTAGTGAATTGATGAATGGAGTACCACCATTCACTCTTCCTGTTGGTATCTTTGCTCTTGTGATGATTTTTCTTTTAAGCTAAAGGTTTTTGTGTTTTTTGTTTTGTTTTTATTTTTGTTTTTTACTTTAAAATGGCATCAGAAATTGCCAGGTGCTTTTACTTATTACTCTCCTATGTACATTTTCTTCTAATGCCTGTGTGTGTGTGTGTGAGACTTACTACTCTCCTATATACATTTTCTTCTAATGCCTCTGTGTGTGTGCGTGTGTGCTTGTGTGTGTGTGTGTTTGCCAGTCCTGGGGCTTGAACTCAGGGCCTGGGCATTATCCCCGAGCTTCTTTTGCTTAAGGCTAGTGCTCTACCACTTGAACTACTTCTGGCTTTTTCTGTTGATGTGGTACTGAGGAATTGAATCCAGGGCTTCATGTATGCTAGGTAAGCACTTACCACCAAGCTACATCCCTAGCCTCCTAATGCCTTTTTTTTTGTCGGTCGTGGTGCTTGAACTCTGGGCCTGGGCGCTGTCTCTCAGCTCTTCAGCTCAAGGCTAGTGCTCTACCACTTGAGCCACAGTGCCACTTACCAGTTTTCTAGTGGGTAATTGGAGATAAGAGTCTTATGGACTTTCTAGCTTGGGCTGGCTTTGAACTGCGGTGATCCTGAGATCTCAGCCTCCTGAGATCTGGCGTGAGCCACTGGCACCCGGCCTTCTTTTTTTTTTTTTTTTTAAAGAACAATCTAGGCTTGTTAATTCCAGTTTAAATTCGAATTTATTTTTGGAGCTACTCATATATTGTTTGTTTTTGTCTCTCTACTGGAATCACTAGATCTCCTTTCTTACAGTTTGCTGATGAACAGCCTCCTATTAATTACCAAATCCTGAAGCAGTTCAACTATGAGGACTGACTATATCTCTATCATTCTTAGTACCCTGTTTTTATTGAACTACTCCATGCCTTTAACTTCTGTTGTTGTGTGTACTCTGGTGTATTTATTTGTTTTTGAAAATTTTTAATTAGCATGAATATTTTTGAAGATTTCTAATTAGCTTAAATATTACATATATGCTGGCCATATATTTTGAAAATAAATTTAAATAAACATATATTAGTTGTACAAGGGAGATTTCATTGGGATATTTCCATACTTGCATATCTGGCCTTAGTTTACTAATCATCTTTCCTTATAATATACTGTTTGCTTTTGTTAATGGCTCTTCCCCCATTTAGTGTCCATCCTTAACTTAAACATTATATTCAAATTGCTTTTCTTTTGATACTGTGAATTGAACCTAGAGCATTGTGTATGCTAGTCAAGTGCTCTACCACTAAGGTTCTACATTATAGTCCCTTATGTCACATCATGTTTTTTTTGTTATTTTTGGTGGTACTGGGGTTTGAACTCAGGCCTTTACATTTGCTAGATAGGCCTGCTACCACTTGAGCCATGCCTGTGGCTCTTTTTTTCTTCAGTTACTTTGTATAGGTTTTTCATTTATACTCAGTCTGGCCTGAACCGTGATCCTCCTTTTTAATTTTGTCTTAGGTGGGATGATAGGCATGTATTGTTGCTCCCAACTATTGATTGAGATAGGGATCAGGAACTTTTTGTACAGACTGTATTCCAATCTCAATTCTCTCAGTCTCTGCTTCCTGGGAAGCTAGGTTTTCAGGCATTAGCCACTATTCCTTGTCCTTCTTCATTGTATTTGAAGGGCTTGACCTATCTGGTTTTTCTAATGAATAACTCTGTGCCCTATTATAAAGAAGTGTTATTGTTTTAGAAATAGTTATATATATGTTTGGTATGTTCTGAAATCCTTGAACACAGGTCTTACAAGTTAGCAAATCATCAATTGAATCAAGATAGGAAAATAATTATAACTTTGCATTTTATAAATGAGGATAAGTTTTATAAAAATATGTTACTTAAGTTTCTTTTTTCTTTTTTATCTTTGTCATTATTTTAATCAATATGAGTATAATTTAAAGGTCAAATATAAATAGTGGTACAATAACAAGTTCCATTTCTACTTTTGCCATCTTTATATCTTTTTATCAGTTAGTTTTAGAAATACTTCTTTTTAAAAAATTTATTAGCATATAATGGGGTGCAAGTATGTTTCCTTGTGACATTTCCAATCACATATTTGTACATACATAGTGTATACATGCATATGCACAGTCACCCTTGGTCAAATTGATTAATTGCAGCTTCAGTAGGTTTAATTGTTTTCTTTTCAGATGTGCATATAAAGTACTTTGACTACATTCACTGTCTTCTGCCTTCCCTGATTTAAGTTTCTATTTTACTCATATCAAAACTCAGTTGAACATCCTATCTAGTATAAATCAAAATGAAACATTGTTAAATGAGATCCACAAGATTCTAAACATGTTTAAAATTAACCTTTAAAGGGCTTGACTGAAGTGGTGGAGCATCTACCTAGCAAGCACAAGGCCCTGAATTCAAACCTCAGTACCCCCCTTCCCCCACAAACACACAAATCATTAAAGTTGATTAAGAAGTGAGCGTTAATCTATATTATGAGGAATTTAACATATAAACAAATGGGAGAAGCTTAATTCCATGCTTTGAGATGGAAATGATAATTATTATTATACTGGTCTTAGGATTTGAACTCAGGGCCCAAGCTCTGTTCCTGAGATGTTTTGCTCAAGGCTAGTACTCTACCACTTGGGTAACACACAGCTCTACTTTTGGTGATTAATTGGAGATAAAAGTCTCCTGGGCTGGCTTCAAACTATGATCCTCAGATCTCAGACTCCTGAGTAGCTAGGATTGTATGTGCGAGTCACCAGCTCCTGGCAAGATAGAAGTTGTTTAAAAGTAGCATATATATTTTTAAATTAATATGTATTAATATCGTTTGCTAAAGCCATAAATAAAAATTCATTGGATATTTGGATATTGTCAAGGAGTTTGTTTTGATACCAGCTACTAGATGAAGATCTAGTTTTAAATTACTTTTTTTCATTTATTTATTTGTCGGTCATGTGGCTTGAACTCTGGGCTTGGATGCTGTCCCTGCGCTCTTCAGCTCAAGGCGAGCGCTCTACTGCTTGAGCCACAGTGCCACTTCCAGTTTTCTGGTCATTAGTTGGAGATAAGAGTCTCATGGACTTTTCTGCCAGGGCTGGCTTTGAATCGTGATCCTCAGATCTCAGCCTCCTCAGTAGCTAGGATTACAGGCTTGAGCCACCGGTGTCCGGCTCTTTTATTTTTTTAAAAGGTATTTTTCTTGATTAGTAGTTGTAGAAAGAGGTTACAATTCCCTAAATCAGGTTGTGAGTACAAATGCTTCTTGATCAATATCACTCCTTCATTATTTTCCCCCATTTATCCCATCCTATATCCCTATTCTCAAGTTACATAGCTTATTTTTTACATAATGTACATTGAATATAATGATTGCATTTGTTCACCCTTCCTTCATTCATGTCCCCCTCTTTTGTTTTCTCCCCTAAAACCTGTTTCAATATCCTGGTATTCATTTTGTTAAACAGTACATTAGTTGTTCAGAAGAGTTATACCTTTGGACTCCTCCCCTAAGTACTACTGTTTTTTAAATGCAATACTGTTTTTTGAGACTGCAAATATTGAACTAATGTACGTTTTTAGCACTAAAAAATAAAGTTAGAAATCTACCTAATTATTTTCCATAGTAATCCATAAACTTCACATATTAAATAAAATTTTTCTGGGTCTTGAATGTCATTGATTTGTTTTTCTTTCTTTAAAATAAAAATAGGATGACCATGAAAGCTGTGGTTCTAATTCCACTAACCGTAGTACTTCAGAGAACACAAAATCATCAATAAAACCTCGAAAAGTTCAACAGTCTGCTCCTACAGATCCTGATTTGCCACCAGGTAACTTGTAATGAATTTGAAAAGCTAGAATTTCAGTTATTACTGATCATAGTTTTAGTCTAGTAGAATGTACCTTTTTAGTTTTTACTGTTGTAAAACTTGTAGGTTATATATACATGTGCATTTACCATTTGATTTTAGAACATGTTAGGTTCAGATCCCTCAAAATGCCTTTCAGTAGATTTTGATCTTTTTTGGTAGTAAAGTTGGTCTCTGAGTTTCTTTCTAATAGCCTTTCTCTTGGTAGCAACTATGGTCTCTATGTTCCCTTTCTTTGTTGATTATAGAGAAAAGACATGGGGTTATTCTAAAATTTTGGAAAGTCTGAAATTCACTATGAATTATAACATTTTATAACTAAAAGAGACCTTATATAATATCTCTTTTATTTATTTTATTTATTTTTGTGGGTTGTGAGGCTTGAACTTAGGGCCTGGGCAATGTCCTTGAGCTCTACACTTTGAGCCACTCAACTCCACTTCCATTTCTCTGGTAATTAATTGGAGTTAAGAGTTTCATTGACTTTGCTGCATGAGCTGCATGGGCTGGCTTCAAACTGCAGTCTTTAGAGCTCAGCCTCCTGAGGTCTTACAGGTGTGAGCCAATAGCACCTGGCTTTCAGATGTTTTTGTCTAGCAGTAACAATAATAGCTTGCCAAAATTAGTCCCTTGGCAAGTATTTAGTGAATGCAAAACATTACATGTTAGCTCAGTCAACAAATTTCATCATTGCCTTTTTACAGTTAGAAGAATTATCAGTCACTGCTTTTAGATTTGTTTTAGTAAATTATGCCTTTTTTGTGAGGTTTGTTCGAGATTGGTATATCTTCATCACTGGGCCCACTCTCCCTTCCCCCCAAGGGTTGAAGCTATCTGCTGGTTATGTTTTGACAGTCTTCAGGCATCATCTATTGATCTATTGTCAGAGACTAAAGTTAGACCTTGCCTCCATTAAAATATGCATTCTAAGTTACTATTACTTTTCAAGTGAACATTTTCAGTTGTGCTTTAGTGATGTTAGTGCTGATTTGTGTTTTTTCTAATTGTACCTAACAAAATTTGGTAGATCAATTCTATAAGTAGGAGAAGGTGTTCTTCTCTTAAAAACTGTTTTCAATTTTGCTTGGTTTGGTGGTTCCAGAAAAATTTCCACTGTTTTGTTTTCTTTTTTTTTTTCAAACAGTCCTTGGGGAAAATTCGTGGGAAATTAAAATATAAGTTAAAGTGGTAGTTTATTGTTAATTATTAAATTTGCAATATCTTCATTTCTACAAATTTAATCACAGATCTCCTCAAAATATACTAGATCATGTCAAGAGACATTGCTGATTTTCTTGCTTATTCTCTCTCTTTCTTCTTTTTTTATTTTCTCATACTCCTCTTCCCTTTTGTCAATTGTGGGTTTAATTGTTGATTCCTGTTCCATATTTTGTTTTTCCTGAGAAATATTGCTTAATAAAAATTTAAAGCTGTTGTCACTAACTGATTTCATTGTTAGAAACCTATAAGCTAATTTGCAGTATTGAATACAGATTTAGAGCCATGTTAGTATTTAGACTGATAGAATTATGACAGTTGTCCTATTTTTAGTGGCATAAAACATAATTGTGCTCTAATTGAGCTACTTAGATAGCTTTTGGATTAGCATGTGCTTTTCTACTTTACCTAACAGGAAGACTTATAGCCTTTTTTTGTAGACATAAATCATAGTTAGGGGATTGACCAAATACTGGGAATTAGAGCAGATAAAGCTTAATTTTGCTAAAGGAAAAAGAGGGATAATTTGAGAATCCATTTGGATAAATGGTAAATCATTTTATTTAAAGGGTAACCATTATAGCTATTAGAAGACTTATTTTTGGCAACCTTATTCTGCCTGTGAATCATATTAAAGTTCTTTCATGGTAGAAATAAATTCTCATTTTCAAAATTTTCTAGGGCAAGGTTTTTTCTTCCAGGATATGTGGTTGCAAATTTGAAGTTAATGTTTACACATTTATATAGAGCCAGAAAATTTTTGAGAAAAATTTTGATGTTGTCAATAAATAGGCATTTGTTTTATTCCTTCGATGGATAACTTTCTTTCTAACAAGAAGAGGATACAAATTAATATCTAACATCCTCTTTGTACTCTCTGTTCTTGGTATCTAGAACAGCCTTTTTCAGGCTATGGATCTTGATCAGTTACTGAATTTCTAAAACAAATTAGTGAGTCATACTAAGCATTTAAGCAATATATGGTATAGAGTGAAAAAACCTCTATAGCAGAATGACATATAGATAAAGATATTTCAAGAAATTTTTGCAGAAATTTGATGTAATATTTCTTACTGGGGATATCAAAAATTTGAATTCGACTAGAAGCATTTATATTTTATTCATTTTTTTTTTTTTCTGGTTGTGGGCCCTGAACTCTGGGACTAGGCGCTGTCCCTCAGCTCTTCAGCTCAAGGCGAGCGCTCTACCACTTGAGCCATAGCGCCACTTCTGGCATTTTCTGCTTATATGGTGCTGAGGAATCGAACCCAGGGCCTCATGCATGAGCCACCTTCCCAGCCCTTATACTTTATTCTTGATATGAAAATCTTTGGTGTAAAAATTTTGTTAGGATGAATTGTAGAAAGTTTCACTGAGATTGTTTACATAAAGATATATAATGTACAGTAGTTTGATCAAATGCACCCTACTTGTATTACTTTCTTTCCTCTACGTTCTCCTCTCCTTTCAGAGTGTCTAGTGAGTTTCATTGTGTTATATATAAAATCACATTTTAAGTTCATGATTTATAGTCCAAGATCTTCAGTTACTTCTAGTAATTAGTTTAGCATTTTCCATAAGATTATTTATGTTTCTACATAGAAAGTTTGCTATCTTATTTATTTATTCATTCATGTTTTCCTCTATATTTCCTGCTTTTTTTTTTCCTTTGCTGGAAATCAAACTCATGGCTTCACATTTACTAGGCAAGTGTTCTACCACTAAACTATTCTACTAATCTGTATCCTCTGCACTTTATCTGCCAATATAAAGTGATAGCATGTTTCACTTCAGTTCTTTGTTTTCCAAATTATATAGCCTTTCACATTTATTGAAGGACATTACAAGAAGCAGTAATTTTTAGGTTGCTTATATATTTTCTGTGAAAATGGATCTGAAAGGCAATGTTCCTCCTCTCCTCCTCCTCTCTTCCTCCTCTCCTCTCCTCTCTTTTCCTTGCCTCTCCTCTCCTTTCTTCGCCTCTCCTCTCTTCTCTCCTCCTCCTCTCCCCTCCTCTCCTCTTCCTCTCCTCCTCCTCTCCTCGCCTCCCCTCCTCTCCTCCACCTCGCCTCTCCTCTCCTCTCCTTTCTTCGCCTCTCCTCTTTTCTCCTCTCCTCTCCCCTCCTCTTCTCCTCCTCGCCTTGCCTCCTCGCCTCGCCGCCCCGCCCCTCTCCTCCGCTCCCCTCTCATCTTCTTTTCTTTTCTTCCTTTTCCTTTTCCTTTTCCTTTTCCCTTCCCTCTCCTCTCCTCTCCTCTGCTCTCCTCTCCTTTCTCTCCTCTCCTCTCCTCTTTTCTTTTCTTTTCTTTCTATTTGTGCCAATCCTGGAGCTTGAACTCTAGGCTTTGGTACTATCCCAGAGCTATTTCACTCAAGGCTAGTGCTCTACTCTGAGCCACAGCTTTACTTTTTGTTTTTTGTTTTGTTGGTCATGGGGCTTGAACTCTGGGCTTGGACGCTGTCCCTGCGCTCTTCAGCTCAAGGTGAATGCTCTACCGCTTGAACCACAGCACCACTTCTGGTTTTCTAGTGGTTTTATTGGAGATAAGAGTCTCATGGACTTTCCTGCCTGGCTGTCTTTGAACTCTGATCCTCAGATCTCAGCCTTCTGAGTAGCTAGGATTACAAGGTGTGAATCACTGGTGCATGGCTATCCTTTAATTTTTTCAGGATCTCTCAGTTAAATGCTAAGTTTTTTAAATTCCTAATATTCTTGAAAATTTCTCAGTTTTGTCATTTGGGAAGTTCAGAGATAAATATTTGTTCTATTGCATAACTTCATCTTTCTAGATTTTGTTATATAATTAGCTTTGTTTTCTCCATACCCTTTTACTCCTGTGTATGTGTGTGTGTGTGTGTGTGTGTGTCTGTCTGTCTGTCTGTCTGTCTGTCTATGTCTGTGTGTGCGCGCTTGTGTTCACTTAAGAGAAATATTTCGGATATAGTTAAACTGTGCCCTTTTGAGTTAGAAGTTGTAACTTGGTCATGCTTGATTTTCTTCATCTAGCATAGGTACTACATTTGTAAAGAGCCAGTTAGTACATATTTTAGATTATGTAAGCCATGTGTTTTCTGTTACAGCTATTCCACTTTTCTGATATACTGTGGAAGTAGCCTTTGATGATTAATAAAATAATGAATGTGGCCATATGCTAACAAAACTTTATCTACAAAACTAGATGGAATAGGTTTTGTTGCTGGCTCCTGATGCAGTACAATGTCTGATTCACAATAGGCATTTACCTGTTTCCTGGACTGTAAAACTACATAGTACTTTCTTAACTTGGTTAATCAAATTCATAGACTCACTAAAATTTGGAATAAAAAGTTATCTCAGATTTTCTGGTTTAGAAATCAGTCCTTTTTTTTCTCTTTTTTTATTGTGAAAATACTGTACAGAGGGGTTACAATTACATGGGCAAGCTAATGAGTACATTTCTTTTTTTATTTTTATTTTTTTAAATTTATTTATTTATTTTTTATTTGTGAACATACTGTACACAGGGGTTACAATTACATGGGTAGGATAATGCGTACATTTCTTACCAAGCATTGCAGCCTCCTCCTTTGGTTTACCCTTCACATCCCTTCCCAGCCTCC